AACGGACGGGACGAATGAATGGGAGGTTAAGGATGGATCAATGAGGGCAAAGGGATAGCACGATTGCTTTCTGCGAGGAGGAAGGGACAGGGGATTAATTGAAATCCCGCGGCGACGCTGTCAGGTCAGCGATTCGCAGGCTCCCGTGGTGTACGAAACTTTGGAAGCTACACGAGAGGCTACACCTCCACAGACCGCGTTGCTCTTCGTATATACTGCAGCCTCGGAACTTCCGGGTCGTGCGAGTACCGTGAAATAAGACTGATTTAGAGTTCACGACATCGATAGCTTAACCGTAGCTTAGCCCCCGGTTTATCGATTATCGTTCGTCTCTCTGGACTAAAGACCGCCGAAGCCAATTAGCCAACGATAGCCAACCTCAGTGGCTTTCGTTCAAACTACTGGACAATCGCATAAATTTTTAATAATACAACATGTACACATCAATAAAAGCTTAGCACGACTTGAATTCCTGTTAAGTGCGGAGAAACATGCAATCGTTGAAAGAAACTCGTAGAAAATGTAACATGATTGTGCAACATTCGCTGAAACAGGGACAGCAATTTATGAAACATGTCAGATATTTTAAGACTTGGCGTTTTCAAATAGAAAAATATATGTGTCACGTTTATGCGACCGTATTCCATGCTCATAACGATATTAATGCGCTACTAATCACACTTAGCTCGTTTCTTGTCGGAAACGAAAAATGGCAATCCTACTAAACGACGGAAGAATGATGAACCTAAACGATGAGATGTTTGCTTCAGCAACTTGTCAGACAAGTTGTCTAACGGAGAAAATTGATGATGCCCGCCCACCCCGCTGCGCAGGAACATAAGATAATAATGTGGCGCAAAAGTTTTGTTGATGTGTGTAACAATATATTTCGCGCGACTTGACGTTCGTTCATGATGCGACGTTTAAAAACTCGGCGGCGTTCCGCAGAGATCCCACGAGATTCCATCGATCACGGGCGCTACCGGACTACTACCGCTCGCCGCAAACAAAAATAATCCTATTTGCGCAAACGCAGCGAATTCGAGAGTCCGTCGATCGCCTCCGTTCATCAATTCGCCTTTCTCGACGAGGGGCTTCTTCCGCGAGTTCCGAGTTCTCCCGAGAATTATCGCTCCTCGACGCTCGACGCTCGGTGAGAGAGCGCCGCAGTCAACAGAGAGAAAAACAGAGGCAGGCAGCTCGGGATGAAATACGAGCCGGGCCGCTGATACGCCCGCGAAAAACCGCGAATCCGTCGGAAGATTCGCTTCAACCGCGCGAGCCAACGACCAATCAGCGGGACGAGTGCGCGGGAATCGCGATGGACCATCCGTCTTGTCGTCGCCATGGGCATTATCATATTTCCCGAGCAGCGTCACGGTCGCGAGACTCAAGACCGCGCGGTGGTGCCCCGAGTCGATCCCCGTCGGGCGATGCCTCACGCACGAGCGACGACGCCGCTTAAACGGATAAATCTCTTCGGAACCAATTTCGCAGGGTTTCATTTGCATCGACGGCGGATCTGACGCCGCGCGGTTTCGTAAACAAGTCTCGCGTCGCTTCTTATCCCGCTGTAAGGCGAACTCGTTAAAAGTTACCGCGGCATCCGATTAAGATAACGTCGCGCGCCGTGCACCGATATATACGGCCGCTTCGATTCCGAATCCGACGGGCTCTGGCTGGTAGATCCGAACGCGATATCGATTATCGTTCTCGCTATTATCGCGACGAGGCCGTTTTCACGATCGGTAAACAGGGCTCGACGGTGCGATCACGCGATACGAATTGTTTACTGCGCGTTTCTTCACATTAAAGCTGTCGCGATGTTCACCCCGAATTATAGTGCGACATCAATATTTAAGGAACATCGCGAACGTCTCTCTCAATATGTCTCTCTTCTCAAAACAATAATTTTTTACCGTAAAAATTTCAAGAATATAGGCCATTAGGCTCGATCTTCATTTCATTGATCATCTCATGTTTTTCATTTCATGTGCATCGATATTTTCACATTAATTATTTTTGTTTATTGATAAGTAATTAGTATACCAATCAATAGAAAATTAATATTTAGAAAACCTGTATCTATAACGCAAAGAGCTCATAGACACGTCAAAATCTGCGAAGGAAAAGCTTATTAATAATTTCGAAATACCTACTTATATTAGATATTTTGAAGAGAGCAAATTTAGGTCAAACTTATAAATAAATATACGTATAGATTAAGCTTAAAAAAGACGTACACTTTTGCAATTTGTCTACAGGAATAAAAGGCCGGCAGCAGGACGGAAAGACCGACGAGAAGAGGCTCATCGGTTCGCGATTCCACTCACGAAAAGACCTCGAGAAAACGAGACTGAATCCCTCCTCTATTTACGTGCTCGCAACTTTTATCACCACGGATAGAACGCTCCATCCCCGTTGTTGGCTCGCTCACTCGCAAGGTCGTCCCGGAGGGCAATAATCATAATTCGCCAGCTATTGTTTCGCAGATAATTAAGTTCTTGCTCTTGGAACGCGTCTTCGGCCGGCGACGGTGTGTTCCTACGTGCCACGCCGGCGTCTTTGCCAATCTCGAGAAAAACCATTCCGAGCCGTCGTCCTCGTTCGAGAGAGCGAGCCGGTCCTGCTTGTAGGTGGGTATTAAGGAGCTCGCCCCTTTGCAAATACGATCGCAGCCTCGCTTCGAGGGAATTACAGTATCGCGCAGCAAAATTGTATACCGGATATCGATTCCGTCCCGTTCGCCCGCGCCACCGTGATTTGTGACCGAAACTGTGCGCCAAACGTTTCTTCATGCAGCAACTTATGAAAGCTTTATCGACGAACCGTCTTCGCCACTTCGCCAGTGTTGCAAATTAAACTGACTTGTTGATGCTTTGAATTAGGATCTTAATACGCTTATCGATTGCCAAAAGAAAATGTGATTATTACCAGAAAAGACTTATCAGGGAAGAACGCTAAATTTAACCAAGTTAAGAAAAAGATATAATAACGAAAAAAATAATGAGCATCGATTTAACAAGAAAAATAGCTCATCTCGGTGCTGCTTTTAAGTAGCCAATCGTTTACCAATTCATCAAATTCTGACTTCCATTGATTTATTTTCTGCGCTATTTTTCCACTGCTCATTTACGCGACATAAATAGACCCGCCATCTCATTTTCTTCAATCTTTTTTTCAGTAAACCAAAATAATCCCCAATGATACAATATAGAAAATATTTTAAAAGATTCCAATAATATACACAAACACAAGCGACATGTTTGAATTAAATATTAGTTTGAAAAATTTAACGTTGCTTTTCAAACAAAGATTAAAAAGAGAATCAATGGCAGTAAAACTATATTCTTTCACCGCATAAAAACTATCCTACAAAGTAAAATAATGTTTGAAAAGTCCATAAAACTTGCAAACGCGATAGAAATCCAATTGTATTTTGACAGAGAAAAGACTAATTCAATTTTCGATAAGAAATATTTTCTCTCTTCATCAAATGCGATTACTGTGATTTTTGTGATCGTCGCGAAAGTGATGAAAATACACTGATTTTTAAAGTCTCGAACAGCAGCGCGGAATTACCTGTTACTCGCGCTACAAATTTTCCGCATCGATCATTTGGACCCGACGTTGCCGAAAACGCTTTGCGCCTGTATCGCGACAACGCGGCGGTGGAAGATTCCATCAAGTTTTCAACTGCAATGGTAGCGGCGAAAACCTCGTCGACACAGGCGGACGGTACATGGCCGAGGCTGGCTACTCGCCACACGTACACTCCTCCGTCATGGGTTTCCTCTTCCCCCCGCCCTGGATAAATTACGCTAGATATCTGCATACAAAACGGCCTGGGAAAATTAAAAACACAAACAGCGAGCGGGAAGCATCCCCTCTCCCCCTCGTTCCAACCCGTCCGTTCTCATTCCCTTCATCGCGTCCCTATGCCGCACTTTCTCTCGCACTCTTTCTCACCACCTCGCTCTCTCCGTCCGCCTGTGCCGGCCGCTGCTTTCCCCGAAGCGGTAGCGACGCTATCGCATTATAGCGCCGGGCCACCAATCTTGTAAATTGCCTTCCGCTGAGAGTAGAAATCATAAGTTTTCCGGTAATCAAATGATTCATCGCACCACGCTGCCAGACGGACCCGTGCGATGACGTCGTTGCAATGCAACAAGACATCTCGATTACAGAACTCGCGAATATGATCCTTGGACTTTTCATATATTCTGCTAACACGATTTATTCTCACGATTCGAACATCGGTATCAAATTTCGATAACTTTCTAATCTCCCCAAATATGACAAATGCATAATTGTATTAAGTAATTTAATCAGCATCATATCGATGCTAATATTATACAGTCTGCTTTTCTTATGTAATTTGATCTGAGTGCTTTAGAGAATTCTAACACAATAAAAAGAAAATTTGTAAATAGATTCGCGCTCATCGGAATAAATTATTTAGTTTGTGATAATACAATAATATAGTATAATGTAACAAGAAAACTATCAGTCCACACTTTCTCAAAATAATGGATATTCCAATTTTATACCCCTCCTAGCATCAATTTTCTAATAAAAGTTTGAAATAAAACAAGATAAAAAGAATATCTAAACAAAAAGTATACACAATCTCCAAATATTGCAAATAATAAATTTCACGCACGATTTATATATATTTTGCACTCAAATTAAAGAATTAATTTGACAATTTGCAAAAAAATTAAAGATTTTATAATTCCTTAATTCCATAATTTCAGTTTCAGAATAAAAATAATGTATAAAATAACATATAAAATATGCTCAAACATATAAAAAATACTTTTTGCAAAAATCTGATCCATAATATACGATTCGCAATAATCCAAAAATCTTTATAATTTTTGACCAATATATAATTATTGCAAAAATATATGAGTATTATTGAGAGACAAAAAATGCAAACTATACAATTGCAAACTAAATGATTAAAATTCTAAAATGCGAAGAAAAGCGTCATCATAACTTTATAAAACTGGTCGGATTATTATATTCAGTAATTCCAAACCTTACACATATGTAGCTCCAACGACAACAACACATAGCTCCAACAACACAGCCTATTTCCAAGAAATTGCTCCTCAAAACAACAATCGCTCGTAGCTTCTAATCGCGTTGAAAAGCAGCAATGATGAATTTCCTGTAAATCAATAAAATAAAAATAATATTTTCAAAAAACTATTCCATAATCTCTATTATTACAAGCGCGAAACAATTATATCTGTTGCAAAATTCGACATCGTAATAATGTTCAATAGAATAGCACAATTAATAAAATAATTAACACACTACGATAATCGCGCATTTCGAATCGGCATCCTCAATATTATCCCGAAGATCCAAACCAAAAAGAATCAAAAGACAGACAATTTCATACTGATGCTTTATGACTCTGAAAGTAATATTCGACTTAACCTATCCTGATAGATGCAACTGACTTTACGTATATCAAATTACTAATAATTATTTTTCGACAAGCAATGCCTCACACGATCCGACCGGTGCGAATGATTTTACGTATATCGAAAGACTGATAATTGTACACATTAAAAATTCCTTAACAACAATTACCCGTCGTTGAGTTTAATATTCTCGATATTTGTTGCTTACCAATACGCGCTAAGAAATACTTCATGACAATTGCTCATCGTTGAATTTAACTTTTCTGGCATTTATTGCTTACCAAATTCACTTTAAATGAGAAGATATTCTTATAAAACGCAGAACAACACTCGCACCGATCGCTCCGCTCGTACTTATACTGTGAAATGATCTATGCGCACAAGATGGCGTGACGTCACGAGCGCGCAATCGGGTATGTTCTTAAATCGTTTAAACGAATTAAAGGAGCAACTTCACAGCGACGCCCAAAGATTTCACGAATAATGACGAAGTTGAACATAAGGCGTTTGCTTTATGACTCTCCAAAAACTGATTGGTTTGATTGATTTGGTTAGACTACGTATTAATTAAATTTTCACGATGATAATAGCTTATAATCTAATTCGACATCTGTATTCCCGAGATACGTGTAGAAAGTTTGAAAGACAAAAACAACTTCGCATCCCGCTTACGTTTCGGCAAGTAATACCCCACACAATTCGACCGGTGCGAATGATTTTACATACATCGAAAGGTTGATAATTGTTCGCGCTGAAAACAACATTTACAAAAATTATCTATCGTTGAGTTTAATATTCTCGATATTTGTTGCTTACCAAATTCACTTTGGACGAGAAAATATATATGTGAAACGTAGAACGCCGCTCGCTCGCGTGTGATCACTCTATCGCCATCTCGTGAAGTGATCTTGCGCACGATAGGTTTTGTGACGTCAGAGTCACATGATCAATAGAAATCGCGTGATCACATGAGCCTGTTCAAATTCGAAAAATGCGTTAAAAATTATTGCCAAATCAATCAATTAATTATTGTCTATTATACGTGTACATCTTTTGGATTATTATATAGGCTACTATGACAGATTGACTATTGACTATTCCCAGTAAACACAAGCTAACAGTAACATAACGTCAATATTATAATTTCCCACTTAACAATGTAACTGCAATATAACATGCCTTGTACGTAACAATTATGTTGTTGAGTGAGAAATTGTAACATTAATGTTATGTTACTGTTACTTTGTGTTTGCTGGGTTAATACTGACCGCACATCACGGACATATTACGCATCATGTTCGAATTAATAAATAATATGCGTGAGATATAAAATACATTAGTATTTAAAATTTATTAAATTTACTCAAATAAATTTACTTATATTAATTCGACACTCTCATCTATATTCAAATTAAAATGATCTTTCTTAACTTATATAAAAAAATGACATAAATAATTCACTAATTTATTTATTTCATAAAATTTACTAATTAATTTATTTATTCATATTACGTAAAATTATAACTTGGAAAATTTTTCCTACATGCAATGTTTTAGAAAATATTTCAATATTGCTTGTAAAAGCTTTGAAAAACGTTTTAATGTGACCATTAATTAATATAATCGTCTATCAAATAATAATATAGTCTGTAAAATCGTCTGAAAAAATCGTCTATCACATTCAATTTGATATTCACGGCTCTCATTTGTATGCAAAATTCATTTTCAACAAGTGAAAAACATAAAAAGCGCAGAGCAAGCACAATTCGATCTGAAATCTGCGCTACTGATATGTAACTAATAAAAATGTAAAAACGATGGAAAGGAAGAATGTTTCGCCGCTCGGTGCGAGAATGTCTTCGAAAAAACCAGACGCAAGAAATTCTCCGCGACATAATGACACGAAACCAAGATAAACTTGTAAATATGTATACTCTGTGCGAATAATTACGTTGAAAAAATACCGTGCGAGTAACGGTGGGTTAAGAATAAGAATGCAAACGTACCGAATACGATTCCACACGTTTCCGCTTAAGCGGCGCGTGTAAGAAGTGCGGTCCCTTTTGATTTATCGGCCACAAATCACGCGGGCCAGAGAAAGCGCTTGATTTTTATTGGCCGCAGTTACTTCCAATACATCATTCGCAGAATTCGATGCCGTTACCCTCGTGGATCGCGCGCTCTCCTCGGGCCATTGCCTCCCCCGCACCGGCGAACTCACTCGATTCCATGTTCTTGAAGGCCATGATAATTCCGCCCGCTCTCGCGAAAGGAAATCCGTGTGATTCCATAGTAATCGATGCACATAGCCATGTATTCATAGATGCACCTAAAATGTTAAAGTCGTCAGTCGATTTGAACGTACACGGGCCGTCGCATTTGCTCAACAATTAATAATCGATATGACCGCGGGAGTATTTAACACAAGTTTTCATTAACCAGTGATTTATAACGTACTGCTGACGCTTTATAGCAGAATGCATGTAATATCACGCCGATTGCAACGATAGCACTCTTCGGAGATTAATTTTGCGTGAACGCAACCACGTGGGGGATGCGATGCGCCGTCGTAGTTATTGATCGAGCATTAGTAGGGTAATGATTAATTGATAATTATAATTGCATTAAGTACCGTTCGCGGTAACGCAGTAGAAATTACATTAATTATTCCAAGTATTCGGTCGAAATAATTACATGGTCGCTAGCGTCGATAGCTTATTCCCTTCGCGTAGAATTGCACCGGCAAGGATATTGCTGAATGTACATTCAATGATTTCGGAAGCCGAAATATATCTTCCTACATTGCGAATATATCAACATGACGGTATCTATGTCACTATTGTTGTAATTAAACGCATGCGGCGTTCAATAAATCGTCGTGAAAATTTATTTGCGTGATAGATACAATCAAGCGATAAAGTTAAACTAGTCATTATATTAATTAAAATCTGTTCGTTCTTGGCATGTATATTCGTGACATTATGAATATTATACTAGTTATATATATACATATATACATGGCTATTAGATTTCACTTAAAGTTTCAAAATTTAAGAACCCAAAAATGAATATCTTCATAAAATCATCATGAATGTATAATATTATTACTTAAACAGGAAACAGTTTGTAGTTTTTTTGTCAATCTTTTATTAAAGATTGTCTGGATGAATTAAAATAGCTAGAAAGATATTAATTACATTCGTGTAAAATGCATTGCGAGTTTCGTAAAAATAATCCTTATGTCCTCATTCAAATATCAGTTGAACTCTTCGTCATTTCTTTTTTCGTTATTCTAGCCAGTCATTGTTCTGGTAAAAAAGACTACAAGATAGATTAAACCTCCGTCAGCCTGCCCAATAAAAGACGCACTGCTGAAGTATTCATGCATCATAGAATTAACCCGGACCGTCTCGAGGTACGAGACTTAATTTAAAGTCAGACGGCGTAGAGAAAGCTCATAAATACGTGACCGATGTTCACATACTCTCGAACACGACCAGCGGCCACGTGCCGTGACGATGCGATGAAGAGCCACACATGCGTATATTTTTCCTAAGCGATATGATAAGAGCAAATAATGTAAAGACAGTTTTGGGAATTTTTAATCACCTCCTTTACACCTATCGATCCACTTTATTTACGTGATCCTTTAACCGTTTTATTCTCTTTAATCTTTGCAAATTTTTACAAAACACAGTATGGCTTATTATGCATAAAAATAATTATTATTATTGCATATAATTTCTTAAATAATAGATATATAAATGAATAGAATGCATTGGATATTTCTAGAAAAAATGTATAAACATAAAGAAAATCTTCAAAATTGCAATTCTGTAATTAATCTAAAATAGATCTAAGTCTCTCTCTCTCTCTCATTTTAAAAAAGCTTAATTATTACATATAGATTTGTCTGTCTCCATTTTATCTTAAAAATATTCAAATAACTCATTCCAAAACAAAGAGAAACGCGATATGTTTCTTTTGTAAAATACGTTTGAATATATAAATATCATTAAATATCAATGTGTTCTCATGAACAAAATACACACAAAGGCTTTATAAGCGGAAAATTAACTTACTCTTTAAGATTAACGAGAAAAGTTTCGTATTAGATCGCAATCTGCTCGCGGGTACAAAGTTCCATGCATGTACATTTATGAGAGTGATATCGTGAATACGTCCAGCACGGCAACAAGCGATATCCCACCCAGCAACCCCAAGAGGTGCGCGCTACATCGCACGCAGGCAAGGATAGAAGGATGTTTTATGGTGCCTGCATTACAATCCGTTTTTTATATCAATTTCATTTCCTTAAAAGTATTTTTACTGGCAAACCATGCTGCGTGGCGATTACCGGCGCCATTCGTAAAACCGAATTACGATTCTCAATGTGGGCAGCGGACTTTAATGTCAGAGACGGCGCCGCTATGATCGACGACGTTTTACTCAAAGTACTTGTCTGACCAGCTAAGAAAACAGCTACCAAATTTACGTTACTTGCGAAAGTACGAATTTTTCAAATGGTCACTTTACCTCCCAACGTTTAGACGATTGAATTTATTTTGCCAAATTTGAACATGATTTGAATATGATTTGTAACTTATCATGATGCAGTACAACACAATAAATTATGCGTAATTTAGATACAGGCTTAATTTTATTTTGGTTTTTATAGCATTGCGATGAAAAAAATGATTTAAATATTTATTACAAGATATTATAACAAATCAAAAGGTTATTTCAGATTTCATATAAAAAATATTGTAATTCATGAAAATTTATGAAAATATATTTTGCATAAAACTTCTGCCTGAACAATTTAGAATTTTTATCACAATATAATCTGATCATTGAATGCTATCTAAAATGTAAAATAAAAATTAAAATAAATTATTAGTTAATACTCCAAAGTTGTGTAATGAACGAATTAAACGTGATACGGCAGTTTGAATTCACAAATCATCATAAGATTAAACACATTAATTCGAATATTATAATTCAAAGTTATCGTAAAGTATTTTACTATCCACACAATATCGAGCAATATCAAACGTCTTTCTATGTATCGATTATAGCAGTACGCGTAATGGCAGTATACGGCACATAGCGAAATATACCCGTCATGCCAGCTGTGTTTAGACTCCTTTTATAGTTAACGCGTATGTAACTTGGCAACTGGGAAGCAATCACACATGGCATATCCTGCTGGCCCGACAACGCGGCAATGTTTCTGAATCGTAGCGCGCGTACTTCCGCTTGCAAATGCCGCGGTGGAATCCGGCGGGCTCGATAATTCTCCAGGCAACACGGACAATCAAATCCTGGGGACACGATCGCTAACACGTGTGAGTATATTAGTGCGGCTCTCCCGTTCCCGCCCCCCTCCCGCGTCCCGTCGCATCCAGAATACATGTGGCGCGTATCTGCATACCTACCTCACCAATTACCATTCCCAGTATCTGTACAGAACCGGCGAACGTTTCACGCTGCGCGCGGATCATATCGGGCCCGTTAAATTATACAGAATCTCTCTTCCTCTTTCTCTCTCTCTCTCTCTCTTCTTCCCCTCTCCTCACTATCTCTCTCTCGCATTATGGAAAAAGACTTTCGCAGCGATCTTTTGAAAATGAGAAACCATTGTACATTGCGTTTAAAGACCTATTACGAGCCACACATATATACGAGCGCAAAAATGTAGAAACTTAAATCTACGTTTGCCGGAATACGCGCCGGCCATTCATCGCGACGAATCAGAATTCGTTTAGCCATGCGGCAATAAAATGAAAGATCGCGCAAAGTAAGAAATCGCGACTACGTAGCGACCATGTAATCCGTTTCCCTTAATCCGCCCTGTCGGTATTTATAATTCAGAGCGTAATTTCCCTCCGCGCGCGCTTTCGGCTCGCCTCGCACCGCCGAGATCCGGCGGGCGCACCAGCACATCTCCGCCGCGCGAATATCGAATTCGCGCATAATCCCGGGAAATCTTTCGAAGCGTATGAAATTCTAACGAACTCATCTTGTTGCGCGCACGTGTGTAACGGAATACGTAATTATATACACACACACATACGAAGAGACTTACTTCCAAAGAGTCTTACTTGCAACACCCTTGTTACGGAAAACGCAACTGCATTGTAAATCAGTGTGTCGAATCTTTTTGTTTTTTCAAATCTGTCGCAATCCGTAGTTCCGCCTCTGAAATTCTGAATGTAACAGTGAATATCCGAAGATATTCAAAACCGTGCGGCTCGAAATAGGTCACGAATCGATATGAAAAAATGTCGCGTGATATACGACGAGCGAATCATAATAATCCGCAATGTTCCAAAAATGAAACTGCGATATATCTATCAGGTTAAATTGATGGATTAGCATAAAGAAGAGCGACGCGTGATATACGCCCGGAATATATATCCCCGATATTGCTACGCCAGATATCTCAATATTAGCATAAGCTCGTAAATACTTTCCGCTCGATGCAATTTTTTTTCCATCCTCCCCCGCGATATATCCGGCGCGTTAATGTCAGGCACAACGGCGGGCTCCGCCATTCGCGATATATTAACTGTTTTTGTATAGGATATGAAGAGAGCGAGATACGTGAGGTTGATAAAACGCGTACTTATCCCGGGGATGGAGATATATTATGCGATCGAGGTCCCTTTGACCCGTTCGCCGCGTAGAATGCTCGGCAAGGTTCTATCCAACTTTACGACGGCGGTACGGGGCATCGGAAATCGACGCATCGATCTCGAAGGGTGGAGAGAAACTGGCCGGGGGGGAGGGGTAAATTGTGGGTCAAAGGTTGGGGTTAGTCTCGACGCGTCAGCACTTTAGCCCTCGTTAATGACGTCATTTACCAGTCTCGGGACGCGTTAAGCTGAGCGTGAACGCGCAACGAAAGAAGGAAACGACTGACCGGTAAAATCCGGCGCTTCGCGATTTTGCAAATATACTATATCGATGACCGCTCTGGCTGCTCTGACAGTATTTTCTACGACACATGCTGAATATTAACGCGAGGTCGATATGACACACGTTATATGACGTTATGTTATGAATACAGAATTAAAATGGTAAAACGGCCGGTTTTAGCTTGACAATATTTAAAATTTAAAGCGCCGCTTTCGCGAATTATGTATTTCAAATAGGTGGAAAACGTCGGTGTATGCGGTTTTAATTTATGAATAATTAAGTCCGAAATTAAAACTCCGATTACCTTCCTCACTCGACGAAAATGTCAGATCAGCATTCAATTTTTGCTTGGATAGTGCCCATTCACATGAAATATTAACCGTCCTATTTTGACATCGTTACAGTCCATCCGACTGATTTTCTTACGAATGACATGACCGAGCCACTGAATCTGTCATCACCTATTCATGCTGCCCCGAGTAGTAGAAGCAATATCGAATCGGCCAGAATTGATTAACTTTATATATCGATTATCGATACGGCTTCCCGATTTTTTAGTAACCGCCATTCCGCCGCGTTACACGAATATTCAAACGCAATTTGAGAAACCGATAGCCCGATGTCCTAAATTCGACTGGATTTTTACAATTCCTTCGAGGTTCCGTTAGCGCGTAACGAGCCACGTGAGCTCTCACCAAGTCATCCCGACAGAAAATCGTGGAATTCTACAGGACGAAATTATCTTTCGGCGATTGCCGCTTACATCGTCCGGCAGCTTCCGCGCCGTACAAGTCCGTATCATGCTGTGAGGAATCGAAGGGAGGAAAAGGGATGGAGAGGAAGATCCATACAGTCCGCGCACAGAGTCCGTAGGTCCATAGCTACGGCTATAGCTTGCCTCTGCAGTTCGCCGGCTATTTCCCATTTGGCAGGCGAGCCAGACCCAGCACTTTTGGTGCCAACCGATAATTGGACGAATCACAGTCATTCGCTTCGTGCGAACTACTCTTCTCCCCGTCTCCCTTCACTCTTTTTGTCTCTCTCTCCGGTGAGTTTAGTGGACGTATTCCCTGTCTGTCCTCTTTTCGGGTCTGTACTACGTTTTGCCCGTCTACTTTTGCAGTTCTGCAATTTTGGGTCTAGCTACTACCTCACATCTGCTGATTTATGCTGCGTATTTTTGCTTTCTTTCACCTGATTTATTGAATTTTTTTTTATTCTATAAATTTTCAACAGTCTATGAAACTCGCGCTCTATTTGTGCTGAATATGCATGTGCTTTTCATTTGTCAAAGCACGATATGGACTGCAATAGTACGAAGACAATCATCGAGTATACAAAAGTTGAAAAAGATCTGCTTTATTGATACCTGAACACTCCAATAATGATTTCTACGTACGTAAGCAAAATTCACCGAGAAATAATTTGTTATTAAAGTCAAATCTCTCAATTTTGTACTAATTCATTTTAGAATCATTAAAGAGAGAAAACTTCATATTTTAATAAAGCCTCCAAAATTCTTCATCTATCAACACATTCACTATTTACAGACAAACTTTGCATAAAAATTTTTTTCTTCATTATCAGTGCACATGTGAAATTCCTGTTAATATTGTGGCAAAAGATATTTTAATACTTTCAATACATGTTTAAATATTAATTGGAATATGCATCCCTTTTAATTTTGATTGTCAACATATTATATATATATATATATATACACATATATATTGCTCGCGGGTGATACATAATAGCATGCATCCAATATACACGTACGTTATTGATTTGTAATACACTGACAGGGTTAATTACATTTGATTCCCTTCCACTGCAACTACCTTCGAGCGCTCGGCCTCATTTCGAAAAAAAAACTCACTCTCACAAGTAACGAATCGAATTTTCACTTTGTATATAAAATCTCGCAGAGAAATCTCCGATTTTGCTACCGCAAGTATGAACTTCGATAATCGCGGCCAAACTTACCATAAATATTCGATACTCCGCGCTTGAAATGCACACGTCATTACGAAACTTGGCGCAATACCACGATTTTCTTGTTGGTAAGTTTTTCCCGGAAAAACCGAGACGTCTTTTTCTTTAATTCTCATCAAATTCCAGTTACGTCGCGAAGTGGAGCCGAGATGAATAATGAACTTTTCGCATATGCAGAAATGATATGCGAATCGCTAATCGTGCTAACGGGAAGTCGCAATATCGAACTGTGCTCTTTAGAGATGTGCTTCCGCTGAAATCACAGGTTTGCATTAAAGGCAATCACAAATTCACAGAGCATTAACCTCGCGTTCGCGGCTGCGATAGAGAGCGATAGGGTGGAGAACGTGAAGGGCGCGAGAAGTGTTGGGAAGACGAGTGAACGGGGGGAGTGCGTATAGCAGTAGCGTTACGGGAAGTATGCGCTATCTGCAGGATCCATGCTATTTGCGTAAAGTAGCCTAACCCATCCCCAATGCCTCCTAACCGTCCCCTCCAGCCTCGATTTCGCGGTAACCATCTACGTTTAGACGGCCTAGAGGGTAATACATTGTTTGCTCTTCGTTCGCTAAACTAAACCGCATTCGGAATTAATTGCACGTTAGGAGGCCGCGAGATAATTAAAGCCGCCCGGATTGCCTTCCCCGTTACTCTAGATACGTCGTTAGGAAACGCCGCCGTTGGACATTTTCGTGGTAACGCGTTAACATCTATATAGACAAATGTATTTTAGCATGATATCAATTCGTTGCTTGTGTGCAAGTGAATTTTTTTTTCGCAACGAGACCGAGCGCTGCAATAAAAGGCAGCAAAATGTAATTCTTTAATATTCAATACAAGATTTTTATATAGTTTATAATGTATATAATATTTATACAAGATTTTTCTATTGCTTGTCAATTTATTTTCCTTGACAGTATATTGAATAAATCATTTCTTTCTTCAGAAACTTTTTTATTATTGCACAAATCTGCTCTTGTTAATCTTTTATAATACAATATAAGTTGAGTATTTGTCACATATAATTTAATTTAATTTCTCAATTACTCGCTTAAAAGGAATATTATTCTAAATATGAATTTGCCTGCATTTTATACCGCAAAATCATTTTTGCTTAACACAGATTTCATATATATAACTATTATTGTCGCGAAACATTACCCGTGAAACGATCAAAAAAATCATTGAATGACTAAACATTTTTATTCAAAAGATATTTTTTTCTCGCGTGAATGTTCAATTCTACATAATTCTAATTCATTCTATAACAGATTACCTATACACCGGAAAATTGTTCCTGTTTAACACAGATTTCACATATACAGCTATTATTTCCACGAAATATTACCTACAAAACAATCAACAAGATAATAGATTAAATGCAATAATTGTATTAAAGGTATTATTTTTCATAAAAGCAAAATACATTTTCAAAAAATATATGAATAATATAAAATATAGTTCTTATTTAATTTTCCAAGAGCAGCTTTGCACAGTCAAAGAGCCTTATGCAATACACACACAATGTCACTCGACAAATTAAATCACGTAACAATTAAACTACTACATTCGATCAAAGTAATTTCGACTCACCACTTGAAGCTCTGTAAAATCCTGTGATATTCGCAGACATTTTTCCCAGGCCGTATGGGAATCATCATCGAACTGCGACGAACGATTTGCGAAGACCCGAGGGAACGGTGATGTACGCCGCTCGAAATTGCGAGGACGAGCACGCCGAGCGATAATCGGATCGATCATACCGGGGAATGACTCGCCTGCCGAAGGAAATTGGTCGTTAGTCATTCCACCTGGCCTCCTCCGAGCAGGAAACAATTACGGATTCGTAGTCAACAGAAGCGATTCGCGCTCGTTGCGATTTCAGAAAGAGAAAGAGAAAGAGATCAGTTAGAAATCGTTTTCTCTCTCCCTCTCTCTTTCTTTCTCGTTTCACGTCCGAGAAAAGCAAACGAGACGGCAAACACAGCGGCCAAGCCCCTCTCTCTATATCGGTCGATAATCTATACGCTTTTTTCTCCGCGGAGGAACGCCCATGCCGAAGACCGGCAAGAAGCCATTGTTTCTCCGCGTACGGCCGGTTTGATTGTGCTAATGAAAAATGGGAAAGTAGTAAAACCGAGCCAATAGAAAGGGCACATCAACGAGCAGGGGCTCAGTTGCCGCTGCGGATGCGAGAGAAAAGCGAAACGGGAATTGAACAGCGTCCAAAAGCGCTCATAAACGAATAACACTCATAAAGAATATAAGATATCGAAGGATTATATCCATTATCATATATCAAGATACTGCGAGTTTTTTACCCGGCTACGCGCCGTTTCTTTGACGTATGACGGATATCAGTCTCGAGTTACTCGTTTGCAGAGATTATCCGCGAAGTATTCTGTACCGCGAACGAATGATATATCGTCCGCAAATACTAAGTTATGTACACTAGTCACAACTATCAATCATTCCGCGCACAAGAAGTAGTCTTTTACATTAGATTTCAAAAAACCGTGTTTCAGTTCTTTTATCCTCTCATTTTAAAATCGATACAAACATTAAATGATTTTAAAAATTATAGATGTATCAGGCTCTGGTGATTGTTAAAATCAATAATATTCGAAAGGAGCGTAAAGAGCCAACATTCGTGCAAAGGTTATCGTATATTAGTTTTTAACCATTATTACATTTACATTAAAACAGACGTTTCAACCTGTCATCAGGCCTTCCTCAGATCTTGAATGAATTCATTTATATTAGTAGAATTGTAAATATCCATGTTACTATATTTAAGATATTATATTGTATAAATATTTTTATCATCTGTAGTTGCTATGTATAAAATTCCGTAACTATTATTGCTTTTTCTAATTAATATTTTATACCAATTATTAATAAATTAATTATTTAAAAAATAATAAATGTACAAACGCAATAAATGTATAAGCTGATAATTAAATTTTATATATTTATCGCTTTGTTTGTTTATTTATCATTAAATAAATAGTGTCAGTAAAATATAGTTTCAGTTTTTGGGTTATATCTATTAAAATTATTCTTAAAATTGCTCGATTTTAATAAATCCCAACTTACCATTAATAAATTCTTATTTCCAATTTTAGACGACAGCAGAAGAGAAAACAGGATTTTCCATGAAGTGATTACATCGAAAAGTTATCGGTACATTGCTTCTGGTGGTGAATTAAGAATCAACAGTATTACCTCAGGATAGAGCCGGCGATTTTTAGCTAAAAAACAAATTTAAATGAACCGTTTTGTCGTAATATGAAAAAAGCATGCAGATTCAATTTTGAACAATTCCAATTTATTCTAAATATGAATTTGCCTGCATTTTACACCGCAAAATCGTTTTTGCTTAACACAGATTTCATATATACAACTATTATTGTCGCGAAACATTACCCGTGAAACGATAAAAAAAATAATTGAATGACTAAACATTTTTATTCAAAAGATATTTTTTACTCGCGTGAATGTGCAATTCTATATAATTCTAATTCATTCTATAACAGATTACCTGTACACCGGAAAATTGTTCCTGTTTAGCACAGATTTCACATATACAGCTATTATTTCCACGAAATATTATCTACAAAACAATCAACAAGATAATAGAATGACTAAGCTTTTTCATTCAAGAAATGCTATATTTTTACCATGGCGGAAATATGCAATTTAGTCACAAATAGCTTTTTATTCTTTAATAATTTTTATTGCAATAAGAAATATTTCATTTATTTAGTGTTTTTGCTTCAAAATCGTTAATACATAATAATAATACGTAATAATAAATATATATCGGGTGAAATGCATTTCGAAAAGTTTGCGGTTATGATTGCATTTTCATCCGCGTATAGTTTCTCGGAAGAGTGATCGAAAAGTGATTGCTCATGTACAAATAAAGACAATTGATTCATGTCATTTGCTACGATTATTCGATTCGTTATCAATATGCCTTCTGATATTGCAATTTGCAGTATACCCACCTGTACATATACCCACCTAAATGAATTAAATTTTTGGAGCCCAACGACAAACCATGACTCAACAATTAAGCCCGCCAAAAAGAGAAAGGTTGGTTTGGCTCGCCTGCTCGACGCTTCATCTTTAACTAGCGGTGCGTTGGCAGCACTACATCGCCAACAGCGGTGGCGCCACCTCACGATCTCACGCGGTATGCATTGTGATGGAGTATAGTGCGTAGAGCTAATTCGGCCTATCGTATTATTGTGCATTGATTTACGTTCAATATGTAACCGCGACGAAAGGTAAGGATATAAATCGCAAGAGACAAAAATTTGAGAGTATTGTGAGAGCGTGTGAAACAAATGTCGTCTTTCTTTGCAGAAAATTAGAGGAAATACTCGCCGTATCCGGTAGGATAAATTACCCCTAGGGGTGGGGTCAAGTGATTCCAAGCTGTCATTAATTGCAAACAAATTGACAGGTAATGTCAATCGCGTGAGAGACAATTACACAGCGTTGTCATGACTCGACCTATTGTGCCAAGCCAGCAGAAGCTGGCTGAGAAGCTGATTATTTTGAATGACAGAGGTATTGGTATGCTAACACGCATTTACAATATTAAAAAAGCCTGTGGTGATGCCAAATCAAAGCCTGCCTTCCTCTCCGACAAGGCATTAGAGTCTTCCATCAAAACGATCGTCAGGAAGTTTCCTAATGTTGATATAAAGGGATTGCAGACCATTACAAATATTCGTAACGAGATCATCAAGTCCCTGTCATTATACTATTACACATTTGTCGATCTGCTGGATTTTAAGGATAATGTGTGTGAACTTTTGACAACTATGGACGCATGTGGTGTTCACATGGATATCACAATTAATTTTGATTTGACCAAAGGGTATTTAGATCTTGTAATCACATATGTCAGTTTGATGATTCTTTTGTCCAGAGTCGAAGATCGCAAGGCGGTGCTAGGGCTCTTTAACGCAGCCCATGAGATGGTGCACAGCCAGTCTGATTCTAGCTTTCCTCGTTTGGGACAAATGATTATGGATTATGACGCTCCACTGAAGAAGCTCTCAGAAGAATTTGTACCGCATTCTAAATTATTGAAAAATGCTTTGACTTCTTTGTGGGCGGTATATCCTGGTAGGAACTTGTCTGCTGATACATGGAGAGCTGATCAAAAATTGAGTCTTGTCGGTAGTCCTGGCCAGATACTCAAGGCAGCAGCAACAGACACCATGTCCTGCGAAACACTGAGCTTGGATAGAATCGAGAGATGGGTGATTCTTGGATTTTCTCTTTGTCATACGTTTTTGAGTCAGGAACAGCCAAGCAAACTGTGGATCACTGCTCTAGAATCCAGTTGGGTATTGGCATTATTTAGAGATGAGGTAATTTATATACATCAGTATATCCAAACGTTCTTTGAAGGGATGAAAGGATATAGTAAAAGAGTATCAGAGGTGAAAGAATGTTACAATCAAGCAGCACAAAAAGCTGGCTACAAACACAGGGAAAGAAGAAAATTCTTAAGGACCGCTTTGAAGGAATTAGGTTTAATTTTAACGGACCAGCCTGGTCTTCTAGGACCAAAAGCATTGTTGGTCTTGATGGGTCTCTCCCACGCAAGAGACGAAGTGTTGTGGCTTCTAAGACATGGAGACAATCCACCTACTCAAGGTAAAAGTAAAGGACGAGGCAGCGAGGATTTGGTGGATCGCCAGTTGCCCGAATTGCTCTTCCATTGCGAAGAACTGCGCGCGTTAGTAAAGAAATATTCTCAGGTGCTTCAAAGGTATTACGTCCAATTTCTCTCAGGATTCGACGCTCCTGCTCTACATCAAATGATACAAAATCTTCCGGTTTGTCCTGAGGATGAAGGGGCTATCCTTAGTGATATGTGTTCAACTATAGCTAGTCTGACTGTAAAGCAAGTCGAAGACAATGAATTGTTTGATTTTCGTGCCTTTCGACTGGATTGGATTAGGCTGCAGGCCTACATGTCTATCGCGAAATGCAATATGAATCTGGCTGATAACAGAGAATTAGCTTCCTTCATGGACACTGTAATCTTCCACACGAAAATGGTCGACAACTTGGATGAGATGCTGGTCGAGACGTCCGATTTATCTATTTTTTGTTTTTACAGCAAAATATTCGAGGATCAATTCCATATGTGTCTTGAGTTTCCCGCTCAGAATCGATATATCGTAGCGTTTCCGCTGATATGCAGTCACTTCCAAAGTTGCACCCACGAACTTTGTCCGGAGGAGCGTCATCACATTCGCGAAAGAAGCCTTTCCGTCGTTAATATGTACCTGGACGAAATGGCCAAAGAAGCTAAAAATATTATCACGACCATTTGCGACGAGCAGTGTAACATGAGCGACAAACTGCTGGCGAAGCACTGCGCCTTGTTAATCTCACAAGTCGTCAATCGCAAGAAAAAGGACAAGAACAAGAAGAATATGTACGAAATTCACAAGCCCGGTATAGAGAGCTATCGAAAGACCCGTGAAGAATTGACGACGATGGATAAGCTGCATATGGCGCTTACGGAATTGTGTTACGCCATCAACTATTGTCCCACCATTAATGTCTGGGAATATACTTTCGCGCCAAGAGAATATCTGCATCAACATCTGGAGTCACGATTCGCTAGGGCGCTGGTGGGTATGGTCATGTACAATGCTGATACTAGCGAGATAGCCAAGCCGTCTGAGCTCTTTGTCAGCGTTAGATCCTATATGAACGTCCTTCAGACCATCGAGAATTACGTGCACATAGACATCACGCGCGTCTTCAACAACGCTCTTCTCCAGCAGACTCAAGAGTTAGACAGCCACGGCGACAAGACCATAGCCGCGCTCTACACGCAATGGTATTCGGATGTTCTGTTGAGGCGAGTTAGCGCCGGCAATATTTGCTACTCTGCGAATCAACGGGCATTCGTCAGCCTGTCGGTGGAAGGTGCCATCCCATTTAACGCCGAGGAGTTTTCCGACATTAACGAGCTGAGAGCGTTGGCGGAACTGATAGGTCCGTACGGCATGAAGATGTTGAATGAAAATCTCATGTGGCACATCGCCAGTCAAGTACAACAATTGAAGAAGCTGGTATCCAGCAACAAGGATGTACTGATCACTCTGAGAACGAATTTTGACAAGCCAGAGGTGATGAAGGAGCAATTCAAGAGGCTGCAACACGTAGACAATGTTCTCCAACGAGTTACCATAATCGGCGTGATTCTGAGCTTCCGACAGTTGTCGCAATCGGCAGTGGTCGACGTGTTGGAGGAACGCATACCATTTTTACTGAGTTCTATATTGGATTTCAGACACCATCTGCCATCCGGCGATCCCATGCGCGTCGTCTCCGAGATGACATCGGCTGCAGGCTTGACTTGTAAGGTCGATCCCACCTTGACGACTGCGCTACGAAATCAGAAGCCCGAGGTAGAGGAGGACGAGCACTTGCTCGTTTGCTTGCTGATGGTTTTCGTGGCGGTTTCCATCCCGAAATTGGCTCGGAACGAGAATTCTTTCTACAGAGCGTCACTAGAAGGCCACTCCAACAATATACATTGCATGGCCACTGCGATAAACAATATATTCGGAGCGTTGTTCACGATTTGCGGGCAGAATGACATAGAAGATAGAATGAAGGAGTTCCTCGCTCTGGCCTCGTCGAGTTTATTGAGATTGGGCCAAGAAGCTGACAAAGAAGCGACTCGAAACAGAGAGTCCGTTTATCTTCTGCTTGATCAAATAGTCCAAGAATCTCCATTCCTGACGATGGACTTATTGGAGAGCTGCTTCCCATATGCACTCATACGCAATGCATATCACGATGTGTACAAGCTCGAGCACTCGCAGCAGTGAGCTCAACGGCGAAATTGCGAAAAAGACGAGGTGCTGCATTTTTAACTTTGCCACTCAGGGCCATTTTTTACGTCCACTTGTAACATCAGAGGCAATCATGAAGACTTTGCTAATATATATCGAGCCGAGAGATAATTTTGCGAATGAAATTTAGTTTCCGGCTACATGGCATCGATGAAAAAGTACAAGCATATATACGTCAACGGAAGAACGAAAGAATGGTGAACGTATACGTACGGTTGTTTGAAAATTGATAACATCGATAAGCTATTCCTCGGCATTTTAACAGAATGGCGCAAGCTCATATTGTAATACATTTTAACGATTTTCTTACGCTGCTTGCGACAAAAGTCACATGCAACGTTATTAGAATCTGTGTTTTTCTTGACCATTTATGTAATTGAATCTGTCTTTATCTTGTCGAAAGTATCTTTATCGAGGAAAATTAATCAATGAACAATCGAGATTCACGGACTTTCGTAATTCGAAATGATGCATTTTGTAATGTACAGTGCATTTTGTAATGTACTGTACATTTTGTAAAGTACAGTATTCTCTTATTTACATTTTTAACATCCGGCTTGAAATATTCGTTAGTTATGTAACTGCATATCTTAAATTCCAGCATTGTTATGACTTTGTGTCAAAGAATTTTTCTATTGCACGGGAATGCATCATAAGCTCCCACGACTTCAAGCTAAAGATCGCGATATTCATGTATCACCCAGTAGGTATATCATCACTTACCCACTATGACTTTTTAATGTACAATTGTAACTTTTACAATAGTTTATATAATAAATAAAACTATGTGTAAAACAACTCGCTCTCAATTTTTCCATCACCCTCAAAGAACCACACGCGAGATAAATGTAAAATGTATGCTTTATTTAGTTTTCTTTACAATGTTTTTGTCTCTTTTAATCACATTAACATAACACAAGAGATATTCACAATCATAATCTTTTTTTTTTTTTATTTATAATATCCTTAAAACACTCGCCGCATTCTAGACATTTTGGGAAAAGAGAGAGTGGTGGTCTGAATCTACATTCAGGCGATTGGTCAGTATCATGCTCAATTATAATTTACAATACAGATTTTATGATTTACAATAAAGAGAAATACAAAAATGAGATACATCTCTAAAAAACGCATCACTCGAAGTTGCACCGACTAAAAGTAGAGGTACGGCACGAACGTAAGGGCCACTTGGTGCTTAGTGATATCCAAGTAACGGTCTCTTAAAATAAAAAACCTACGGTTCCTTCAGAAAACAATTAATTATCCGCGAAGTGATCAGTACAAAGGGCACAAAGTTCCGCTTAAATAATCCCGGATGCACGATGTTGATAGGTCACCACGTTTTTGGATCGATAGAAAAAATATAATCTTCGATTTGTTCTTTTTTTTTTTGTTCTTTTCTCTCTAACATTATGTACAAGTGATAGAGTAGTGTGTGCATCGCGTCACAGTAATACGGCTCTGGATTAAGATAGATACGGCACACCAATCGCGATGCCCTCAAAGATTTCGGTTTCGTTATCGTTCTGTCGACGTGATATACTTATATATTCGGTGATTTGACACGTTACGCTCTTGTGAAGCGCGTGAAGGAAGTTTTGTTATCGCAGGGAATGAAAGTCAACATCTTAATCCAGACGCCGCGGAAACGAATAAGCTTAAGCATATGTAGTTAGAGGTCTGGAACAAATGATGAAGGAAAATTTATTCTTATCTTATAGTTCTCCCGTACGCGCAAGTGACTTCACTGTCAATTTTTAGTAACCGCGCCCTGATCCCATTCCACGCTCGTTCTTTAGGCTTTTTCGAAACGTAACGAGGCCAATTGTTCTCGTCTTCTTTGAAATATTCGCTATGTCGTATACGAACTTGTACCTGTGATCTTTAATCATAATGCTCAGTCGTTCGAAGTAATGGCAGTGAGATGGAAGCAAAAGTAATCCGCGCACCGTCGTTCGATCGGAACGTTTCAGTTCGTTCCAAAAGCGAGTTCTAACTACCTCGAGATTGCTCATCAAATGGCAGTGGCTCAGAACGGAATGATCGCCCAGAGATTCTCGATGACTCTTCGAACGACATTATTTCGCGCTTTTTCTTTAACACATGGAAAAGGTTTCTCGGTCTTCTGCGTAAAAAGAAATCCAAAAAAAAGGACATATAAAAAGTCTCCTTTGTATGATAATTTTCTAAAATATTCATGTGATCGTTATTATCGCACGTTTAAAAGATCACAACTAACATTTATTTGCGGGAAACATTTCTAACGATACACTAACGCATTAAAATTAATCGAAGACACAAATTGCATCTCGTTACGTTCATTGGCAGTAAATCACGTCCGCTGACTGTCGCGGATTGTTGCTTGCATCGAAACAGACTAAATCGTTCAATGGTATTACGAGCGACTTCGAATGGGATCAAATGGGGAATTCCTTTGCATCTACACGCAAGAAATCTCGAAACTTTCTAAATAACGTTAATCGATTCCGCCGGTCCACGATGGATCGTCACAGAAACTTAGCTGCTTAAAACCTAAAGGCTCGATTACACGCACGTACAGACACTCGCTCGTCATCCTTAACTTCCGTCCTGATTACAAAATACAGAATAATATTTCGCTATAATACAGATCTGATATAAAAACAAGTATTTTTTGTATTCGCTTTACCATTTTTGTTATAGTTATATAATCATTTTATAATATCAGTTATATTTACACAGATATACACACTCGCGATTTCTTTCTCGCGTTCTCTCACTCACAATATTTTCTCGCACGCCCGAAAAACTTTTACTTTCCGTCCCATTTTTCTTTCATATTCCCTCTCGCCTATTCTCTCACAAGATCTCGTATGATCCACCTATTAATCACATTGCATCTATTGTACATTTCCACACTATTTGCAAACTCGTATTATAGCGTCTTTGCTGGCACCTCCTCGTTTTAATCCTGCATCCCTATATCCATCCTTTTGCCTAGATAAAACACAGTCTTAAAGTTACAACGCAGAGAGTTGTAATTCAGTTGCAGATAGACATAGAGATATATTAATCACACCAATCGATATTTGCAAATGCGACTAAATTTTCATCTTTATGCTCTACAAATTGCTACATGACTGTGATCAAATAAAAACCGATGTAAGATTCCCAAAACATTTCACTGTCCTTATGAAATGGCAAAAATGACAATGGCGCCATTGATGATGGATGTAACTATTGTTTTATCTGCGCTGCACTTTAAAATACATAAGTGTTTTGTTACGCGAATGATTGTAATAAAATTGATAAAATATTGAATATCACGAAAATAAAACTCTTTCTTAATTTTCTAGTTCAGAAAATTGCGTTGAATTGCTAGAACATTAAACATTATGAAAGTTATGTTAAAGTGGTAAAGGTAACAGTCATAAAAACTGACGAAAAAAATAAATCTAGTTTCAAGTAGCACGTGTTTCATCAGTTTTCCTCGGAGACAAATCTCGATTTAATATACGTCGTTAACTTGAATGTGCTTTTCGCGTATGTTTAATATTATCTGTATCATCGTAAATTGATATAATCCGAACGGGATCGAACACGGACTACGACATTTGCATAAAGAGATGTCGATAAGTGAAAAAAAAACTCAGTCGTTTGTTCGTCAGATTTGGCGTTTCAGAGAAGGGAAGTGCATTAATCGTATCGACAATGGTCTGACAGCACCAGATACGATTCAACTCGAGAATGAGAACTGATCTCGTGTCTCTTGCTTACGAGTATGCAGCTGTGTACGTGTGAGCCCATGTGTACATATATATTATATATTATATATTATACATATATAATATATATTATATACATATATTATTATACATATATCATATAACACGTTCGCATTTCGATAAGAGGGCTCGTCTTTGGTCCGCTGTACGCATAGTAGCGCGTTTACGGTGCAGCCCTCGACTTAATATAGCATGTTAAAACGCGTTTTTAATTAAATATAACTTATAACATTCTCTCGTAATAGGCGGAGATAAATTATCATCTGCAAGATATAACTAATCAATAATAGTAATAATATCAATAATCGGTACAGCTTAATAATAATCAATATCATTTTCGTTCATATGTAATAGTTAATGGAATATCGCTATAGAAACGCATTATTTTGTTGTTGCTGCTCTTATATCTCTCATAATCTCGCATAGGTTCATTCACTTCAATTGGCTAATACACAAATTAGTATAAGAATAATACATAGTGTTAATTATTATGCTACAATGGTACAGAGATCAAGCGAATGACCTGCGATGGTTTGGTAATGGTAGAGTGACATTTCGCTCCAGAAAGTCGTTTATAAAACATTTCAGTCATTAAAATTGCGAATAATAAATAACGTTATTTGTACGGTGATTTTATACAACAATACTAATTTTTTTGCTTGTATCGTGATATCTATCGAGTTCAAAAATTAAGTCAAATCGTTTATCGTCCCGCAATAAAATTTTGATTTGAATAAAAAATGACTTTGTTCTATATTTATCGATAAACAAAAAATATGAGTAAAACGTTGTCCTTGGAAAACTTAGTTACATATATATGCCGTTTATCTAAGGACGTATTGTCTTATTACCAATTTTCCACTAAACTCGCAATCTCTAGCAAACAAAGAGATTCTCATCTTAATTTAACTTTCGAGAGCGACATGCACAGTATCGACATCTCGAAGGACGCCATCACATAAAGACCATAATCATGGCCTTAAATGCTCATAGTGTCGAAGGACGAAGATACATTTCAACACCGCCGCTTTCGTCGCTGTGCCAAATACAGCGTCGATCACTAAAGCGAAATGAATCACACGTTGGATCGATTTAAATTACTTTGATCATATAACAATGTCGCCTTCGTTCACTGGCGAAGGTCTTTTTCGAAGCGTTCTAAAATTTGATCATGTGACGAGTTCTTCCTGAACGGCGACGCAAAAGACACCATATTGTGTGCTACATAAAAAAGATTACATATATAAAATTCTCGGTATTCACGATATTCCGACATATTCTTTATACTATCGTGATCCCGGTCAAAACTCGTTCTTCCGGGTCGCCGTTCGCAGCGTTTGTCCTTGCGAAATCACATCTACCGAACCGATACAAAATGAGAGATCGATTTGATCACTAATGCGTACTTTCTTTGTATCTACAAGTAACGCGCGGGCTCTTCCGCGTTCTGTGAATTCAACGCAACTTAGGTAAAAGCGTCGGACCTCTCAATCTGTTCGACCATCGTGCCGTATCATCACGCTGTACCTCGTCATTATTGCTTCGACCTCAGTTATGAGACATCGTCGCGTTTCTTAGGTGGAGTGGATCGGTAACCCTTCGCGTTTGGCAATCGTTCTTTACACAACGACTCGTGGTGCAATGCCGCGACTGGTGGTCCTTGCCCGTGACGACGTCCTAGGATCGTCACACCTTGTTGTGATGCCTCATCTCATAGGCTGCGCCCCTCCCGCCTCCCCCGGAGCCCGAATAGGCGCCGGCATACAGTTCTGGGTGGTTGGAACGGCTGTAGTTGTCTGCTGACCCGCTACTTGGTGGCGCACTAGCTGTGGGAACCGAGCGATAGCCTGCTTAAAGTTTAGAAAAACGTTCGGCGATAAAACGAAACGTATAATCGAAAGTAATATATCAGGTATGCGGGAACGGAGTTGCTGCAGATATATAACTAGATAACTGGTAAACAAAATATGGAGTAGGGAAACAGTCACCGCGAGCTCTACGCTTTCCGCGTGTCTCTCGCGCGCTGTTTCTTGCATCCTACTCCGGATGCCATTCCAGAAAATTATAATTTTAAATGAACACAATCGGTGATGCGAAAGAAGGGAGGAGTTCAGCTCCTGTATGAACGGGAAAGAAAAAGTATCTTAGCTAGCATTCGGTGCAATGTTATGAAGAATGAAAACTAGGAGCAAATACAAGAATCTTACGGCTATTTGAATTTATTTATTATAAACCATGATGAATCTAAACATGTTCTTCGTTTTTGCGTAACGTTTGTATTCAAGAATTTGCTCCTATCAAGCGTATAGAATATAGGCCCCAGCTCACCTCTGCAGGTCATAGAACGATAGTATCAGGTAGTGATGCGCGTCAATCAATGCGAGGGAGATGCAAACAGGAAAAGACATTGATGTAGTTGCGGGTCACACAAGGATGTAAAGACGCAGACAACATTGACTTGAGTTTAATCCGTATTAGTAGTATTTTCGTTCACGTTAATTTCAATGAATGTAGTTTCGATCAGTGCTTAAGCACGAGAATCAAACTCAAGCAACGAGAAATAGATAGGTCAATATGTTAACGCACCTTTCGGATAATACTGAGCACCCCTACCCTCGCCATAACCGTGAGATGGTCCACGCGTTCCGTGTCCGCCTTGACTCGATCGTGGGGGTATACTTCTTGGCCCGGCTCCACCCCCACCGTGCGGATGTCGCTGTAATAAGTACAACAGTGAAATAATAAAATATTACAATATTATAATTTTTCAAACATTTTTCAAACATTAAGTTTTAATACGCGAGAAAAATTATATCGACATAATTAACGTAAATTTACCATTCTTCTAAGGGTATTCATCGGTCTTGTTAATGTATCACTGATACGCCTCGCTGGCGGCTTTTTAGGATTCGTGGAAGGAATATGCACGGCACAACACTTGATAAACAGTCCCATAAATATGATGAAAGCTATACCCATCAACAGCACTGCCCACCAAAATTCCTAAAACAGATAATAAGCGATGGTTACGAATAAATAGTGATCAAATAAAATGTTCGTACTTACGGTTATCCATTGCGCCACCGACGATAAAGTTTCTTTGTTGAACAGTAGATTTTTCAATCTCGCGAGTGGTCCTTCCGTATCGACGGCTCGGCATTTCAAGAAGACATCGCAATAACCCTGCGAACAAAAACGATAATTTCTCCGTCTCGCAACCCCATTGATTTCCGCTCACGATAACCCACCTGAAAATTATCGCAGGGTGAGCCAGGTCTGAGGCTCATTCCACCCTCGGGCAGTCCCACCATATGCGCAAACTCGCTCGTGCCACGACATGTTGATGCATCGGTGCCATTTTGACAGGCTAATTCGCAGAGCTTTCGCTTGTCGATGTTCGGTATGATGCTGCTCGTTAAAAAGCACTCTGTCAGATTCCACTCCAGGCAAATGGATCCGGTGCACTCCCCGTTGATACACAGCTGTAAATAACGCGTCGTTGAAACCGGGCGTCGACGGCCATTAAATCATACAATACACAGAATAACAAAGGGCCATTACTTGAGTGCCTTCGTTGCATCTAGTCTTATTGGCCCTGGGTAGCGGCGCCGGACATTCGGAGGATCTTCCGTTACAGGTAGAATTGTAACTACAGTCTGATTCAGCTCTACATTGAACCTTATGGGAGAGTGGCACAAATTGACACGTTTCACTCGAACAGCAAGGTCCTTGGCTAGGACTGTAAACGGGTAATCAAAATCATAAGGGATATAAATAAAAAAAACGCACCGGCTGGTGTTATTTTCAGTCGAAAACATTTCACTCGCGTACCTGCATTGTGTTCCATATTTCCTACTGCAGCCTTTCGCCGTCTCATTCTTGATCTTATCCAGCTCGGACACTTGTCTAGGATAGCAGCATTTGTCCACACACTCATCGTCATCGTATCCGCAATCACACTCCTCGCCAGTCTCAACAATTTTGTTCCCGCAAAATGCTCCTGTAAATAAAAAATGAGTACAATTAATTTTATAAAGCGGGTAAAAGTCATAGAATAAATATTTTTTGTATTGTTTAGCTCTAAAAATTGCACGAAAAGGAATCCGAAAACAATTGTTAAACATACCAGTGAAACAGTTTCTCTTCTTGTTATCCTCGATAGCATCTAGGACGTTGCTGATATTGCCAATGCTGCACTTTGAGAACTTGCTGTTGTTCGGTCGATTTCCGCTCGTTGCCGAGGCGAACATGATATAATTACCGTCCAAGCCACCCGGTCTGCATTCCGGCGGAAAATCGTGCTGCAAAAAAAAGACGATCGTTATAATTACCAATGCACTCCCGTCGTTCTCGAACGGATTAAAACGAAAGACAAGCAGCACTCCTTTCGCAATAGCGGCTTACCGGTGATCCAAAGTTATGGCCTATCTCGTGCGCCAGAGTCAGCTGCGACACCTTGGGCGGCACTCGGCTGTTGTAATTCACAAAAGTTATGATGCCGGTGTTCAGGGATCTCTTGGTGGACTGATAAAGGCCGGCCACAGTTTCCGTGTAAGTTTTAAACTTTTCGCAGATACCACCGGACGCGCCGGATGCGGACGCGACCCAAGCGAGCCCCAAGGTGCCTCCGGTGAAGTCCCTGTCGACACGAGGCGCGAAATAACATTTACGAACCATAGGCGCAAGCGAACGCGATGCGCAATTTTGTTACCCGCTTACCTATAAGTGAAGACGTAGGCGAGACAGAAGTCTTCGTGATTTGAGAGGGAGTGCAAATTCAGGAAGTTGCTGACGTCGATATTCTCCATACAGAACGGGTTCGGTTCAGTGTACGGTTGTTGTGAGCACGCCGTCTCGTCATCGATCTGATATCAGATATAGCGAGTATGTCAGTCACAAGCGAGTACTCGCACGCCGGCCAATACTATTTTCGGCATGATACCGTTACCTTTATTCGTTGAACCTCAAACTTGATGTTTCTGTGCTCCGTTCTGCCATCGAATTTCGTGTCTCTATAGATGTAATTCACGGCGGTGACGTGGTGAGCGATCAGGGACAATATTTCCTCTCTGGTTTTCTCCGCGTCATGATGCAACTGCGAAGACAAACTTGGACTCAATATTCGTGACAACGGTCTGAAATTCTATTTGATCTTTTTCTGCGCGATATCGCAGAATTCTCTTTATATATTCACATCTCATAGAATTTGCATTACTCGATTTTCAACATGGAATAAATCTTGAATTAAGTTAAAATGCATTAAAAATTGACCAATAAATAAAGTTTGACTACCTTATTACATTAAAATCTGCGCGAAAATCTTTCAGTTTCAATGTTAGATATTTTCGCGCAATGGAAGATTTTTGCGGAATTTTTAAAAAATCGTTAAAAAATTTGCCATTAAAATTGCCTCCGGTGAAATGCACTGTATGCAGCGTATACTATGGTAGTATCAAAGACCGTCGTAACATAGAAATATTCTTTTTGCAAAACACGCCGGAATGCGGATGGTGTCTAGCTTGTTGAGAAAATGCAAAGAGGAATTGCACTGACCGTGCTGCCGACGAAAACGCATATGAATGTGGAACCATAGGAAGAGAAGGGCCGGTATTCGAGGTATTTCTCTATTGTGTAAGGAAATACTGGCATTCTCTAGTTACAAATTGCCAACGGGAATTGGGTCATTCCATCGTTATAACAATCCGTTATCTTGTATCTAATCCTTTTATGTGATTACCGATGCGCTGATTGTACATTGCATGTGATCGCAATGAATGAGATAGAATATAGGTAAAGCATATTTGATTTTTTTTCCCAGACTTAATGTATGCTTTATAATGTGAAATATGATGAAACATATCTATTACTAGCATATCTATAACATGATATTGTATTCCGATACTTTCGGATATGTATAATTAAAGGAAAACGATCTCAAAAGTTAGATTTAGCTTTGAAAGCATTACTGTTAGCAGATCGTATAACGTTTGAAAGCAGCCGATAAAACAGAAAAACACTTTTCCAATAAATTAACGATATGTATGAACTATTTATATTTGTAAAAAATGTTGCATACCTGTTCAGAGATATGTCTCCATATAAGAGGATCCGTTTGTATGAAGAGCGAACAAGTATTGTTCTCCTTCGACCTGGTCGCTCTTCGCTGTCTGCGATGACTAGGTTCATTGGCTTCTCTACTGTACTTATGACCAGGTTTCTCGTGATCACCATTCCAAGGTGTAATATTTGGTTTCGGCTCCTTTTGGTTCGCCGACGTGATCGTTTTAGGCGGTTCGTCTGGTTCGGCGGAATTCTGGATACGCTCCATCCATTGTATTACCTCGTTCGTAATACCACATCCACTACTGTCGCCTGCAAAGTTAATTATCGATTCAACATTATCGCTCAAGAACAATTTTAAGATTGAACTTGTACTTGCAAAACATATTTAATGTAAATCGACAAAAATTAAAAATCTTGCACGTTTGTCATTTTTATCTTAAATTTTATTTAAATAAAATATCAACAGAAGAGAGAATATGCAACTTGTTCCCTATCATCATTTTACCATATTTTTTATAATTTTATTATATTTTCTTAATTATACAAGCAAAGAATAAAAAACAGTAATTAATGCCTTTTCAACGTGTTTAACGTAAACTATAACAGTATTTGCTCTTAGCAAAATAACACGAACAGAAGCCATTCGGTGTCTCTGCTTTCTGAACTGCAGTAGATGAAAATCTGGGAGCGTGAGTCGGGTAAGCTATTCCGAGCAAGCACCGTAAGGTTTCCTAATTAATAGCAAAGTTCATTGCCATTAATTCTGAATCTGGTCGTAGAACTCGAAACATCCACGAGCCACGTGGGAGCCTTACATCATCGATAAGACCAGGATACGTTGGGCTTCGAAACCTCTCCGAATGTAGGCCGAAGTCTATCGTAAGATCCTCCGGCACGAATAGAGGGAATAATAACGATGTGGGAGCTGCCAAGTCACGTACCGTGCAGTCTACGTCGCGTGAGCCGTTGTCACCGAAACAAGGCGCGCATACGGCTTAATCATCGGCGCAATTCCGCAATACGCTCGAGTTATCTGCGTAAAGCGAATACATAGGCATAATGCAGCGACTAACGGCGACCTTGTCGTGGTCCCTCGAGTGTCGTATCGCGGTGCACAACGATGCGGGAACATCCATGTACACGTGCGAGAATGCGAACACTCTGCTTCGTCACCAACTCGCACGATTAGATCAGCGATTCTGGAGAAGCAAAAAGGGATCTACACGATGTAAAGAGAAACTATTGACACTTACAGCGTTTTCTACGACATCTACATCTGCTTTTTTATTTTAAAATTCAGAAAAGTTAATGTACGCGATCGCGTTAATTGTTCTTCTTTTACATCACAAATATAATGTAAAAATAGTTAATTTATATATTTTCTTCTTTCATTCTTTTTATAGATAAAACAGAATTTTACTCATTCAATACTTTCATTATGAATTAACTTTAATTATGAATAACGTAAACAATTGACGAGATCATTTTCAATGGCGAAATAGAATTCTTTATTATTTATTTCTCGAGATAAATGTTGTTTCTTTCACTAATTTACATGCAGAATTATTGACTTTTTGCATTTTTAAAAATAAGAGTTTATGTTGATTTAAAAAAAAAATAATATTACATTTTATACACTGTGATGCGATGTTATCGGAGATCAACGTCGTATCTTCCTGTAGGCATTCTTTCGATCTACGGAGAAATTGTTTCGCATAAGTATGAACCAATAACGTCACTGCCGATATAGCCGATATAGCCGAGATAATCGCGACCGTCGGCTTTATTGGCGGGTTAACCGTAAGCCACGAGCTTTAATGACTTGGCATTTGAGGCGTGACAATATTGGCTGTCCCGTGCCATTGCTACCTGCTACCATTGTCTGTGTGCCGGTGTTAATAAGAATTTCCATTTCATAAAACAGAAGTAAAAGAAACGTCGACGACGCAGAGGGTTAGTTGATGCTTCTTTGCAACAACTTTTAAGCCTTTTATTATCTTTTTAATACTTCCGATCGTGCCATATATTGCAACGTTGTTTCGGCAGGATTTAGTTCCAGGATATAAAGTGTCTCCCATCCTACTCCGCTCGACTCCTCTTCGTATCATCGTGCCTTGTATAGCGCTCCAATAAATGTAGCAAACTCATAACATCGAACGTGTTTCCGACGAGCAAACACGGCAAGACAGCGCGTTTCGGTTCGCGCAGCATGCACAAACGGCGCGATAAATATTACACATGATACCTGTTCGTTTCACCGTTCGCCATTTACGCTACCGCCATAAACACGAGCGACGACGGTGGATTACGCAGGGCGAAATTCACTCCACTCGTTCAGTCGCCATGCCGACTACGCTCGGATAGTAGACGAGAGACTACACTTTCTACAATCCTCTGCGCATCTATCCGAATGGACTATTTCCTTCCCTAACGATATCGCAAATGGTGCATGGAATTCGTATTGCCGTGAACTTTTCAATATCCATATCCTCGCTAAAACGATACAATCTTCTGCCAGTTGCTAAGCTACATTGTTCCCGATAGCATAAAGCAGAATCAAAAAGTGAGCACTTTCGTTCGAATGGATAATGGCTCTCTGACAAATTCGGAATTTTGCTTGAATAACAAAATTTTTTTTTAATAACGGTGATACGTTTTTATTGTCGCGACAAAAGTTTGATAAAAACAGAATATCTATCTCAATAAATTAATGTAAAAAAGAAACAAAATAATGTATCGCAAATATATAGAATTATTTCAAAACTCGAGATGCATTAAAAAGCTAATTAATATATCTACATTTGTACAATTCTTTCCAAGATAAAGTTTTAACCTTACTTTTCCAAAATTTCAAAAAAAAATAATAAAAGTTCTAAAGTTCCCTAATAATTTAAGTAATTCCAAAATATGGATTTTTCTCTGTGTATGCTCATTAATCGTCCTCCTGAATCGCTCGATGCAAAGCTAACGTGATTTGACAAATATAATAGTTAAAAAAGTTGAGAAGAGAACGTAAAATGTTCGAAGAAGAGGATGAAAGATGTGCATCGCGTGACACAGAGCTGCGCTGCGAAAGATGAAGACCTTGATGTCGTGAGGCGCCAGTTCGAGAACACCGACATCGAATATCCAGACGAGACGTTTAAAAACATTCTCGGACCTATCGACCGCCCTATGATTAGTGAACCCTTCATGTACGATAAACGTAACAATTATTGCCGCAACCGGTGATTAAATAAATCTCAATTTATTATTTTTCTCTCTTAATATTATATGCTATTCCTCCGTTTGCAAAAGTTTCGCAGTTTTGCTGAAAATCATTATACAACTGTTGTTCCGATCAGATATTAAATAAACTTTTGCAAGTCCGAGAGATTCAGTTTATGATATCATTCGTAAGTTCATGAATATAAATGAATCAAAGAAATAGCAAACTATAACAGTAACGAAGAAACATTTATTTGACGCTTCTTTTTATTCGCGAAACTTCTGCAAAATCATAACGCAAATACAGTCTCTCGAAACTTGATTTATTTATTACCGATTTTGCGGTTTTCGAAATTTAAAATAATAGAATTCAAAAGTAATATCTTGCTCTATTTTTTAGCTTCATTAAAATCAAATGTTTCATATTCGGCAAAAATATATTGTTATACTTAAAGTATTAAGTAACATCGGATAGCAGAAACTTTGTAATAAATAGCTCGAAGTTGCGGTGTTTTGTTGAATAAACGACCTTCGTGAACTTGCGAACACATAGTAACGTCTCAAAAACTAATATCGATAACGTTGAAGGAAGGAATCTTGCTTTTTTGCACCTTACCTTGTCGAACGTCCGCGTACGGATCACCGACGTCATCCTCATGATAGATCACAGAATGTAACGTCTCGTTTATCTCGTGTGATGGAAAGTAGTAATGCGCCTTTTCCACATACCACGCACCACTTTTCGGTGATACTATCTTCCCGTGGAAGACTCCATCACTGACACTTCCGAACACGTGGCTACCAGGCTCGCCTGAAAACAAAAAAATTTATTTCTGATCAGAAATCTGAAATGTATTCTTGAAGTAAAAATCTTTATAGAATTTTCTCGAAAAGTTTCATCGTTTCAATTTATACAATAAGCAATTGTGAACATTTAAAATGATACAGAAAAAATAGAATGTCTTCTTTTCAATAATGAAGGTAATTCGAGGAATCTCAAATTCTGCAGATGTATTATTCGATTCAAAAATGTCTTCGACGAAACATGCAACGAATATTTTATTCTCGTCTCACTTTGTGCAAAGAAGCCGTTGTCGGCGAAAATATACTCTTGGCGCTAAAAGCAACACTGGAATCGCATCTCTGTTGCGTGTTATGCATGAAAAATATTTTGCGACGCGTTTTCGAGCAATGCATTGAACGTGAAAGGACAGTATTGAATCATTAAACGCGTTGGACAAAACCTGAGCGCATTGTAGATAGCAGGTAAACGACAATAATAGAGAGAATATTCACCAAACGTTCCGCGCGTACATTCTTTTTTCTTTTAGATAATAGATCGCAAGAGAGTAGAGTCGCTCGTACAACCGAGCTTATCACAATTCAAAATTCCTTTTGATGCGAGAACAATAGAAATCTTTCGCTTACAGAATGAAAACGCTCAGTCCAGCATCCAACACCACTGCAAAATTCTTTTTCGCAATTTTGGAGTACAATATTGACATTGTTCTTTAAATTAACACAAAAATATTAAATAAAAAAGTTTCAAACATTATTATAACACACACACATTTATACATTTTCAAAATAGATTACCTTTTGTCCTAAAAAACACTCTTACTTACAAAAAAATATAATAATTAACATTATTAAATCTCATGTTAGTTTATATCGTGCAAATTTATATAAAATTCTCTTGGTTTTCAAACAATTTAAAGATGTCTGAATTCTTATATTAATATTATTAAATACAATTCCTTTACTTGCGTGTCATAAAATTTCCCGCAGAGCGTGACAAACATCATATTTCGAGAGCTTACTGGCAAAGACAGAATGCTCGCACGACTAAGCTCACGATTTTCGGAATTCCTTTTGATCCGCAAAGTGAGGTATGCCTTCTCGCGGCATTATCCGACCGAGGGCTGTAATCGGGTCGCACGGATACACGAGTGAGAGATAAATCGTTCTCCGGCACCTCGTCGCCTTGATCCATAATTTAAAACGTCCCCTTGCGCTCACACACCGAACTCCCGTAAATTATTAGACTGGAAATGAAGGTTCCACCCGATATCAACGCTGACACGCACTTTTGCGTGCCACACCTGGCTATCGGGAAACGTCGCGGAAACGGTACCAGCTACAACGGAGAAACGGTATGGCCTCGTCGAGGCCATATGATGCAGAATGCAACCAGAATGCGCGTCGACGAAGCGAACGTCTCGGCGCACTCGGAGGTCAGGAAGATTGAGTGCCCTGGCATGGTTATAAATTTAAGTACGGTTCTTTGTTTGCACAGTTGAGAGTACACTTCTCTCCACTTCCGTTAAATTTAGTTTATTTTGACGGAAGTTCTTTGAATATCTTGCAGAGAGAGAGAGTAAGGTTAGCATTAAACTTCAGTAACGCATTTTGCGGTAAATTTGGAGAGACTGCTTTCCTTCAGTGGAGATTTGATTAGATTCTATGTTTCACGTTGTAACTTGAGAATGATAAGTATCTCAACAATAAAGCTTCACGTCAAGATTTTACTAAAGCTAACTTTTGATCTTAATTAAAAATTAATATATTCTTTAATTCGCCAAAATCAGTTTATATTGAATAATTATACTTCAATTAAAATTTTAAAAAATATAATTTTTTATATATTAATTTTATTTATTTTTGTTATTCTAAAGTTAATGCATCATAAATCCTGTAAAAGTGGAATTCAAACAAACATTAACACATCAAGAGCACGCGATTTATGTTATTGCAGAATCAGCGTTTTGATATGTTTGGCTTCGATTTCTCTGCACAGCTATAAACCTGCTTTCTTTTCGTGCACATGCAGTCATTTTGTTATTTTTATTAAAAACAATGACGTACTGTTATTTCTTCCGCGGCAAATATTTATAGAGAAAAAAACGCAACTACTATATATAAACATAAAAATTTACATAATTTTATTTTCCAGCTATGTGAGAGTTTCTTGCGAGTAGGAAGTCTCAACGATCGCCGCCGATCGATTCTGTGTAACTTTACATTGCAACCATCATTTAGTATATGAGTATATGGAGCACTGAGAAGACTTGATATCATAATATCGCGATTCTATATTTGGAAAATATCGTGCAACGACGCAAAATCCGAGTCACAGACCTTTAACGTTTTATAGTACACAGAATATCTTTGACGTATACTTTTCTTCAAAGCTAAACTTTTCTTCACGCAAATATGTTCATATAGCTATAAATAATTACGAAAAACTATGCTAAACAACATACTGGAATTGTAAAAGTTGACATCGTTCGATGACAATAACTTATGTCTTATCTATTTCAGATTACATCGTGTATTTTAAAATTCGCATAAAAAAACATTGCATTTTTAAGATCACTAAAACAGTGATGAAAATTCCACGTGTAATCAAAAAACAAAATAGAATCTTGTAATTTTATGATATTGATCTAAATTTTATTTATATGTAAAACATGGCTGGAGGTTTTAAAATTACTTTTATTCACGCTTTCTCACAAACAAATCTAGATCCAATAAATGCAGATAATAGACAAAAGGTTGAAAAAAAATAATTGAGAACGTACCGATTAGGTTACCCTGGTAAATGTGTGAAACGTCGGAGTCGTGCCGTCTCTCTCCCTTGGATCCCTCGATAATTAGATTGCTGCTAAAAGTGGTCAAGTCCCGCTTTAATCGGATGTGGAAGTCCTTGCCGTGCGCGCGGAACTTCAACGTTACAGTGCTATCGCGGTTGATCGACCTCTTCGCCCTCAGGTGACTTCGATGGACCTCCTCGACGGGATATGATAGCGTTTCGTAGTGGCGGATGTACTCGTTCAACCGGCGAGCTGTAACAAACGCAACAATAGGCTCTTTAAGATATGCTGGTAGAAATCTCGATCTTGAATAGTTACTGTTGAATTATGTATGTGATGTCAGCAAGTGAAATATAGCAGAAGCACACTCTTTCATACTGCATTTGAAATTAATTTTCATAAACTTTTCTGTTGAGTTTTATTTAGTTTCCGATTTCGGCCACTGATTTTTATTATTTTTATTTGACTTGTCGCAACCCAAAATACTAAAAAACCTCGATCTATTTCTTCGATTTAAATTGTGTTATGTGAAAATGTAGTTACAAAAATAACGTTACATAAGAACGGCAAATATCGAACACTTTTTCCAAACTTCAAATATCAAAAGATATCATATGTCATTTTACAGAATTTAAAACGTATCCGATAAATAATGATCGGCCGCGAATACGCGTGCGTAAAAACATGAGGAGCTTCTTTAGACATTTGCGAAACCAGGTCGATCGGGTAATTCAACATCTATGGAGCGGATTTCTGTTGTTCTCATCAAAACTCGGCCGCCAGGCGACGCGACGCGTCGCGACGCCAGAGGGACTTCTTTTCGCCTAACAAGCCCCAGCTCGGCTGTCTCATATTGCAGGATAAAATTGCGGAACGATTTGATCGATGTGTTGTCGGCCGAGAGAACCGAATGGCAGGAACCCTCCGGAGATTTGCCGTGAAATTGTGCCGCGCTTAGTAGTTCATCCTCGACTGCGTTAACGAGACAAAGCGCTCTGCGGAGGATGCCCTGGCAGCGGTCCCTCCACACAGTTGATATCGCTCGTAATTTCCGAGGGCGTAGCATGAATTTATATTAGGCAAGACTTTTTTCCTGTGAGTCCAGAGCAACCGTGCGAGACAAAAGGAAAAGGTGACGGCCGCGCTACGTGCAGAGCGTCCCGTAATTCGCGTCTACCGGCGCGAGAAAAGCGTGCGAGCAATCCTCGCCGTGCGGAATCCCAAACGTTTTCCTCCGCGAGACGCGGCGCGACAGTTCTCTCGGAACAACCCCGCCGTAGTATGAATATTATAGAGGGCAAAAATGCACTTTCCTCGTCGCGTCATTTAGCCGATTTCTAAAGAGCGTCTCGCAAGTACCTCGCATTATGCTTTACGAGACGCGCGCTCCCGTCTCGCATTCACGATAAGTGCAATTGCGCAAATGAGTCGGTCGATACCAGACGCATATCTTTTAACGTTGATCATGGTAAATGAGGCACATAATTCTTAATGCTTACGAGTCTGTTTACTGAACAATGCCAAATTGTGTCACACTAAATGAAAATGTCTGATAACACGGTAGATTTCATATCGCGCGCGCAATAAAGGGATTTTTTTATTTTTACATATACTCGTCACAAATATTCTTTCTGCTTTCCAATATTTGTCACGCGATATTATCTTACGAATTTATGATATATTCTCTGTTAAATATAACTTCTATCCATACAGAATCATAAATTCTATGGCAAATTTACGAAGACCGCTCAAAGAGAGCAATCTAAAAAGAAAGAAAAGGAAATTATGCATCTGTGAAGAAAAGCAAGGAAAAGTAGAACCATTTTATAATCAACGTTATTATCTTGACGTCAGAGATATAATTTTATTATGCGAAAGCATTATGTAATACCCTATACCCGAGAAATCATAAAGGTGCTTATGCAAAAGTATTACTTCGAGAGCTATAATTAACGTTCTATTAGAGACGCGCGCGAACCGAGCTTCCTTTTCCTTTCATTTATTTTTAATATTTAATAACATCTTTCAAACGCACTTAGCGCTGTAATTTATAGACATCAAAAGGAATTCTGATACTGAGTGATAATATAACTGAATTATATTTTTAGACATTTCTACGAGAATACGCAGAGTGGAAAAACCGATTTTTATGAAAGCATAAAATCTATACTTCATTTAAGTTCGAGGGGCTAAGAAGAAGAAGGAAAAAAAGAATATTAAGACCCCTCCGGATTTTATTCTCAGACCGTGAAGAACAGAACAAAGAGGAATTCCACGCGGTAAGCTCGAAATAAGCTGATTGTCCACCCTCGTCTAAGGACCCTCGTTCTCATCCGCCGGACCAGGTCATCGGAAAGGGTATGAAACCGAACATAGAAGGCTTATCAGCCGCCGTCCCATCCATCCAACGTTAATGGAAACGTTTCATCGTTCATTTATTACATAATAACAAGATCATGTCAGCCCGTTATGCAATCAATAAAGCGATCACAATTTCTTCCATTGTCCTACAGCATATTTCCAAAAAGAACAATGTAAAAGCTACCAGTATACTACATACCAGAAATCTTTGCCGAAGCGTGGAAATCGAGGAGTTTGCATTTTTATGCGGAATAAATTGGTTTTTAATAAAATTCCGATGAAACACCATTGTATCCCTTTTCAAAATTTTCCATACATGAACAATTTTAAAATAATTATAAAAATGATGTACTAATGTATTTATTAAATTTTGTATTGATAATTGAGAAATCAAATCTTACTATTGTTATTTACCGTTTATTTTGAACATTAGATAAATTTGTAATTTTATTATTATTGAGTATTTTTCTCGTTACTAAACATTATTATTGAATCGCTTTAAAATTCGTTAAAAAATAGTACCTCACCACGGAGAAGCCCATGCATTTCGACAAATACTTTATATCGGGCAAAAAACTCGGGAAACGAGATGCGACTCGCTTCTACATTTCCATCCGTTCTCGAATGAATAGAAGGATTCGAAACGAAACATGAAAACGTATCGACATCTAAAGCTGCAGGGACGCATATGATGCATGAGACAGACTGCAACGACGTACCTTTTTATGCATTGTAGCGGGAGGCGGATCGATACGTATTCGTATAACGTTACTAGTTTATCTCAGAGCGTGAAAATTCCGCTAGCCGTAGCGTGAAGAAATAAATCAAATACGTTTGCATCTTTTCATATAAAAAAATATGGCTATAACGCTTAACGAACAGATGATATTTCAAATGTACGAAATAGCACGATAAAAAATAATAGCTTACATCCTGTGTAACGGTAAAAATAAAATTCTCGTACACTCGTTTTTATAGTTAAACTATATAAACGTCCATATATTTTTTGACAGTTGAATAAAATTAAAATGCAGTTGCGCGAGAGAGTAATGCGTTACCCAAATTTTATCTGACATATTCTAAACAAATCTTTTCACTTTTTGCAATAATTAGATAATGTTCGATAGATAATAGACAGAATAGTTAAACTTTTTTTTGTTATATGCAGTGAAATAACGAAACAAAATAAAAAATGTAAAGTTTCTCTAATAATTCTGTGCCAGAAATGAAGAAAACGATGTCAGGAAATTGAGAGGCATTATTATGCCTTCACTGTAATTTCATCCACCGTTGTAATTCTATTTGCTTTTGAGAAAGCACGCACAACACAACACAATAAGTGAATAAAGCGCGTTCGATAAAACTTTGTTTTACGATACGTCGCAGGAATTGAATGTAAGCAAAAAATCTTTTTCCAATATAACAATTAAAGGCATAAAGTTAAAATAATTAAAAGTTTTGATAATTCGAAATATTGAATAATCAATATGGCAAAATTTTGGTTTATCCAAGCTTGTATAATAATGTAGCTTCACTTGAAAATCTTCGCTTTGTTATTGCGAGCCGTTGTGAATTCGGAACGAGCTCAGGGTTCCTAAATAATACCCGCCGCTATAATTGCGAGCAACTTTTTAAAGTAATATTTATCGTTTTACCAAAGTTTTAATTACGCCCTAATGAACGTTTTCAATATTCCAGCGTTGAAAAAATAACGTCGGCCACGGGGAAAATGACAAAAACCCATCCCGGAGCGGTGAGGCTGTTGTGGTTTCGCAACTACTTTAATGCCGGCGTCGAGGAGAAAGAACGAAAATTGCAGAGAGACGGAGAGAGATGATATCGGAAAATGAGGAACGGCAGCGTCCCTCCCGCTTTCCAATTTTCCGAGCTGTGTCTTCGGCCATGCCGGTATTCTTTCGCGCGAATTGCATCGAAAACGCTCCTCAGAGCACCATGATATTTGGATACGAAGATGAAGAAGCCGTGGG